CAAAATGATCTCTATGAAATCGTTTTTTAGTAACAATTTTTCATTAATTCCTCGTTTCATTATTTACACTCTTGCACAGCTTCTTGCCATGCCACAGAAAAATATCATAAGTAGTTTCCACATTATTAACTCTACCAGTAGTTAATAGCTCATTTCCCTAAGTTACCACAGAAAAACAATCTTTTACGCCGTGGAAATCTCAAATTCGCTTGCAGCATTGCTTAATGTAATAATTACATTAATCGCCCCGACACTTCCACAAACTGATTTTCCTCCAAATCTCAGTCGCGCCTAAAATATCTTTTGTTTCTCAAATGCTTTTATTTATTACACCATCTTTTTTCTTTTAACACCAAAGATTTTCCCATTGTTTTGTGAGGGTTTGTTGTTGCCGCCAAATGATTGCTGTAGCTTAATTGCCAGTCATTAACTCATTACAAGCCGGTCAAGTCGGTAGCAATTTTGCTTTGTGGCTCAACTGGGCTTTGTCGCTTAAGCAGCAAAGCTTTTTTTTTGTAGCACAACAACAATGATGGAGAGTGAATGCTTTGTCTAAGTTGACTTTTTGTCGCTAAAATTATTTATTACAATTTTCTTTCTGCAATCATTTGACTTTATTACGCAATGCGCATTTTAAATGGAGTTAAGTGGGTCAGGAAGGAGAAAGAGGGGGAAAAAAAAACATTTTAAGCATAAACGTGGCTTTATATTTTGTGTGTTTTTCCTTTGATTTTATTTAGTATTGTAAATACTATGGTTCTGTAATTGATTGCGCTGGAAATACGTCAAGTAGTCTCAATACAGCTAGTACATAACTAGTTTCTTTTCAGTGGCTTTACTCGAAAAAAAGCTTTTATTCAAGTATTTTTATCAATCGCTTGCTTTTAATGTAATTAACTTAGTTCTGAAGCAAACTTTGCGCAGAAATCGTTCAACTGCACCAAAAAGAACTAGTCCATCACTATATTATTGTAAGCGTATATGCATTTGCAAAAAGTGGTTTTGCTCTTATGACTTATATTTTTAGTTTCAGTTGTATTTTCTTTGAACTTTTTCGAAAAATCACCAGATGTGCCAAAAAAATAACTAGTATGTAACTAGTTATTTTTAAGTGACTCCCTTACAATATATTGCCAATCCTTAGCTGTACTAATTTTAATTATGTCAAAATGTATTTATACTCTTTTGGCGACACGTGTTGCCGCACTTCACTCATGCTGCGCTAAATAGTTTTAGTATTATACAACCAAATACTGTTGTTAAGAGTTCAAGGAAAAACTTATAGTAAATTCTTTAAAATTATGTTATTAAAGAATGTGGGTATTTTTAGTAACATTTTAGTGTTACCTTGACGCACAAAATGGCTGCCGTTAGGTATTTTTGCGCATAATTTTTGTTGTTGCATTTTTTTTTTTTTTTTTTTTTTTTTGGATTGTCATCTTCTTTGGTCGTCAGTGCGTTCTAAGATAGTTTTAAAAAAATGAAAATATATGTTTGAAACACTTGAAAAATTCACTTATTTTTTATATATTTTTTTATTTTTTTTTAATTATTTTTTAATTTTTTTTTTATTTAATTTTTTAATTTTATTTTTTTATTATTTTTTATATTTTTTTTTAAATTTTTTTTTTTTTAATTTTTTTTTCACGCACTTATACTCAACACAAAGAATTCTCTCAGGTGTCGAACGCATGCATATGCATAGGTATTTCTATTAAAAGTTGTTGAAATAAGAATTTCATATTCGCTGGTCGGTGATTGATTTCGTTTTAACAATTTCCCTTCAACCCGCTGCTGTCAGTTGAAATCTCAAAATGTTTTTTTTTTTCAATTGATTGACAGTTGTTTGACGTCTTTCATTCATACATGTTGATTGGTTGGTTAGTTGGGTGGCGATTTGTAGTTGCACAAGTACAAGCATACATACATACTAACGAATTTGTCGTACTAGTTAAACATAAAATCACATATGTACCTAGACATTTATGCATGTATATGTATATGTAGGTCCTACATTATTGCGCTAAAAGCTTGTTCCCTAATGCACTGTCTGCCATATTAATATTTTTTTCTTTAAAATATTTAGAACTTTTCCTCTTTTTCCTCTAATTTTCACAAATTTTTCATGCTTTGCGTGGCTCACCTAATTTTTTTTTTTATAATATTTAGTACATCAGCGCTTCATTTTGTGTCAGGTAAGAATGCGTTTTGCTTTTTTGCTTGTTCGTGCGGCGCTTGATTGCTTAGTTGATTGGTTGGCGAGATTGCACTGATTATTTTCACCGTTAGATTTTTTCCGCTGTGCTAAGAGATTTTCATACTTTTCTTTTTTAAATTTTCTAAACTCGTTATGTGGTTTTCAACAGATCTTTATGACCCATATTTTTCTTAAATATTCCACTTTAAACTTTTTACTGTATTTATTTATTTTTTCAAATTTTTTTTTTTTATTTTTTTTATTTATTTTTAAACGTGCAAAACTTCAACGATTTAATTTAATGACAAGGAGCTGGCGAATATTTTTCTTTTGAAGTATTTAAGCAGCTATTTGACTTATATAAATAATTTTAATGTATTTTTCGCCTTAATTTTAATATTTGAAAAATTTTAACAGTTATTTTTTTTTTGGTTTGAACTTAACACTTTGGTTATTTTAAACATATTTTTCATCTCAACCTTAATATTTTGACAATTCTAAATATTCTTTTGCTCTAATTTAAACGATCTCGGTGGCCAATCGACGTTGCCAAGGCGAGGACTACGCTGAATCGTTCGAGTTGTGTGGCATTTGGCACCAGCTCGTTGAAATCATATGTTGTCGAAGTCGTACTCTTCAGTTAAAGTTATATAAAGGTCGACAATCTAACGACCTTAGCGCTCCGAAATGAGAGTGTCAGTCTCGCAGTTACCTGGTTTTAAAGGAAGTTAGTTCCAATCATACCTCCGGAACAGAGAGTGCGCCAGAGCGTATGTTTTTTTTTTTTGTAGGGTGTAATATGTGATGAAACGACCAAAAAACGTTGTTGCGCAAGCTTTACCATATTTATAACTGATTTTTATTTTCATATGTCTTTAATATTTTTATCAATTGTTTAAGTTGTTGGACGATTATATGCACCGTAACCTCAGTTTAAAGCTAGAATCTCTATTTTTGTATTTATTTCTAACAATTTTAACGCGTTGTGCGGTTGTTATGCGATCCGTGTTCCTAAACTCCTGACGTTTAACTAAAACGAAACATGTTTGGTTGACAGTTAAGTTTGACAGATGTCGGTCGATATACAGCCCTGCACTTCTGAAGCCACGAAAACGAAATCTTATATTAAAATTTTGAATAGTTTTGTTAAAGTTTTGGTTTAAATTTAGTTTTTTTAAACATCTTCATTTTATTTTTTAGCATAAATTAATTTTATTTTACTTTACAATATTTATTTTCTGTTTTATTTCGAATTTATATTAAATTTTTTTATTTTTAATTTATGTATTTATTTTTTCATTTATTTTTAATTTTATTTCTTTATTATTTAATTTAATTTTTACTTATTTAATTTTAGCTCGTTTTATCTTCTTTTTTTTATTTCGATTTATTTCAATTAGATTCAAATATTTCTATCCATCATAATTTTTACTATCATTTATTTATTTAGAACTAAGGTGTATGTAATTCTGTTTTTATGTCGGGTTGTTATATTTTGTTTATTGTTTTGACTTTAGTTAATTATTTTTACACATTTATTTTGTTATTTTACTTTATTTTGTTTTGCCTTATTTTATTTTATTTATATTTTGAAATTCTTAATTTATTTTATTTTATCTTATTTAATTTTTTTTTTCAAATTCGTTTTTTTACTATGTTTTATTTTATCTTTTTTATTTTATTTTGCTTTGCTTAATTCTCTTTTGTACATTTTTTTTAAATTTATTTTATTTGATTTTGTTTTTTCTCTGGTTCCATTCTTTTAAATTCATTTATTTTGATATATTTAATTTTGTTATTTTTTTAATTTATTTTATTTTATTTTATTTTATTTTATTTTATTTTATTTTATTTTATTTTATTTTATTTTATTTTATTTTATTTTATTTTATTTTATTTTACTTTATTTTCTTTTATTTTCTTTTATTCTCTATTGTTCTATTTTTTTTTTGAATTTATTTATTTTGTTTTTTTATATTTTATTTTGTTTAAATGTCTTTTTTTCTTATTTTTTTAATTTAATTTTTTTCATTTTATTTTGTTTTAGCTAGATTTATTATATTAAATCTTTTTTATTGAATTTTTTGTTTTATTCTTCTTTGTTTTGTTTTAATTTATTTTATTTTGCTTTGTTTATTCCCTTTTCTTTTAGTTTCTTAATTTGTTCAAATTTTTTTTATTCCTTTTTTGTATTTCATTTAAAATTAAAATAGAATTAATATTTTATTTTAATTTATTTTTTAGTTGTATTTTATACTTTTTTTGGTTAATTTTTTAGTTGAATTTCGTATTTTTTTATTAATTTTTTTTTATTCTTTATTTATAATTTTTTTTTGAACTTTTTTGGATTTTTATTGTATTTTAATATAATTAACTCATTCATTTTTTTTTTAATTTCATTTTTATTTACTTTGTTTTAATTGAATTTAATTTTGTATTCGTTTTTTATTTCTCTTTATTTCACCCTTCTTTATTTGTTATTTACTATTTTAGTTTAATTTAAATAATTTAATTTTTTATAAGTAGTTATTTATAATTTCTTTTATTTCAAACAATTTAAGCTTTGCAAAAAAATTACATTAGACCTATGTTTGCATTGAAAATGCTAAAAGAAGAAATAGTAAAATCAAAATGAAATGCAATATTAAAATATAAAAAAAAAAATCACTAAAATACACATTTTATTATGAAATAATGGAGCCACAGCAATTTTATATTAAAATGCCACATTGTTTATTCTTAAATACACACACAAACATATATGTAGTTTATTTATTTATTTTTCTTCCTCTTGCTCTTCCAGGCGGTCGTACAACAGAGCCAGCAACAGGCTTTACTCAACAAATCCAATGATGATCTGCGACGAAAACGCCCGGAAACTACGCGGCCAAATCACATTCTACTCTTCACCATCATAAATCCATTCTACCCCATCACAGTGGTAAGTGCACATGCATACATACATCTCTACATATAGATTTGCATTCATAGAACTTTTTATACTTTTCATTTTACCGAAACTCTATGCGAACCTAAGCCATTAGCGTTGCTGTTATTACTCTGCTATGTAGTATATTCCTACATACTTATACATATATGCATGTATGTATATATATATACCACTACAAAAGACGTTTTTTTTTGCAGCCTCGTTAGAGCCGCCTTTTAGTCAGGTTACATTAAGCGCTTTCATATATGTATGTATGTGAGTAAAAGGACAAAGCCTAGTAAACTCCATACAACGCTATATACTCATACATATATGCATGCAACGTGAGTGCCCCAGTTGCGATATGTATGCATCTATGCCTATGTGTGTGTGTGTTTGTTGTGAAAAATGCAAAATAAACGTCGAAGTGCAGCACTGAGTGCCGCCTAAGTGTACATCAGCCTAGCCGCGCCCATTGAGCGTGCAACAACCTCATCAAACTGCCCGTGGCGCGTTGGGTTGAGGTGGCAAGCGAGCGATATGGAAGGAAAGGAAAATAAATCTAAGTTTACTACAGCCTGCGGCACTTAAGACGAGTAATGAGATGGTAAACGGAATAGGAAAAAAAAGAGAAGAAAATCAGGTAAAAAAGCAGCTCATAAAAATTCCAGTCCCTCGTCGTTTGTTTTAAGATTCTGCGCTCAGATCTACCGTCTAACCATAGCAAACCATAGTGGGATGAACATACTCTTGTCAATTGAAGATGATGTACCTCCCATTCTTTAACAGATTATTCTGTTACACCACCAACCTGACACAATTGTTCTCAGAATTATCTTTTCTTTAGCTTCACTTGCTATAACTACCCTGGCTATGACCGGTCTGACGTAGAAAACTTTCCATTGGGCCGAGTCTTGAAATAGAACTCAGATTTTATAACCTCCTGAAGTCTTTAGTTAGGCAGTAGCAAGGTTGTAGCCCTTCCAACCTCAGGCAAAAGCGGACTTTAGAGGCTCGAAAGCAAAAATAATGCGACTTATTCTAATTATCTTTCAGGCAAACTGGCAATCCAGACAATCTCTCTTTGAAAGGGGCTGCTGACCACTCCGTTTCTTCGATCAGAAAAGTTAGACCGTAGCAATGAAGTTCACTGAGACAGTTGAGCTTTTGTGGTTACCGCTGGGATACGGCCGATGTTGTCTGAGATAAAATTAAGGGACCCAAACCAGCATAAGCACAGATTAGTTACACTTTGAACGTTAGATTGAGTATATTATGATAGAACACAAGGTAAGCATTGGGTGTAGAGTAGCAATCCCGGGGTATTGGACTTTGCTCGGTGCGATTTCATTATAATGGTTTCCATCCTTTTTCCGGTCTCAGGAGGATTAAGGATCATATTGGGACTTAGCTTTTCCCGATCGTTTTGCTGGATCTGCCATTTGGGCGCTGCGACCAAGTAGCGTTTACCAGTCTAGCCGAAAGCGGTAACCCTTTGTCGGTTGTATTGGATATGACGAGACGCCTCATCTGGAACAAAGCAGAGGCCTTCAAAATTCATGCGACTCTCAAAGCAAAGTAAGGGACTACCTGGAGTATATCTTGCTCTGATACCATCGCTCAGATATTCGTACTTACAGTTCGGTGTTTCTGATAAGGTGGGCGTCTTTTCCAATGCAATAGTTACCGTCATCCTTCTGAAATAGTTACGGGTAGATAATTTATGTACCCCGTCCATTCCTACTAATATTCATACGGTTGATTGGTACCGACTTTGGCGGCGTTCTGTTTCTAGTCGATTTGTTTTGGGCGCAACTCGGTGAGACTGCAAGAGAACTCGTCAGTTCTATGCGGGGGAGGAATGGGTTTAAGGCGATTCTGTTAAGACAATTATGAATTACACTGTCTTATGGACTGAAACAACCCCAACTTCGCCGTACATCTATAGACGAATGTTGAAGTCCATGTTTTTTAGGGACTCTGATTCAATACACAATAGTCTCAGTATGGGTACAAGCCCGAAAGCTGCATTCAAGGAAAAAAATGAAGTTTGGCTGGTGTCTGAAGGACTCCTTCGGCATATCGTGGTGCATTACAGCTGTCTGACCGTCGTCTAGAACACTCCATTCCAGGCAAGTCAGAAAAAACACCCAAAAACTAGACCTCCCCATTTTTAAAGCTTCGTGAGCGTGACCCTTCTTGGAAACCCCATCCTTCCAATACACAGAGTTTAAAGACCTTAAATAACAGCACCCAAAGTGCATAGTGCAAATTAAAGTGACAGTAGGTAGTGTTAGGCGTTGACATCGTGGTGCGAGCCAATAACAAAAAAGCCTACAAATTTGTTGTTTGTATAACAAAAGGATTTTCCGTCTCGGATTTTTTCACCTTTTTCCGAAGCTTTCAACAAAATATTTTTGCACATACTGAGCCACGTCGCCTCTACTCGTGTTTAGTAATGCAAAACAACACCAACAACAAATCGGAAAACATGTGCAAACCCATGTATGTGTGTGTGTGTGTGAAAACAAATGTCGAGCTAAACAAGTAAAAGGATAACAACGGCGAACGAATGCGTTGACAATTGGAGGGGCATCTAGTTTAACAAGGATAAGAGAAAAAAATGAACAGAAAGCAAGTGCAAAGGACTAGGTTATGGCATGACAACAACAACAACAACAACAAATATAATGCCGCGATCAAAAACGACCATAGAAATGCATGAGCTCCTCGTCGTCTGTCTGTCCAACTGTCTGTTGGTCGGTATACGCCTTTGGGGTATCCCTGCACACTTGCATATAACGGTTTATAGAGAAGTTGCATTTTTTATGCATGCACACTCATACATATATAGCACGTGCATACATAAACATAGATTGAATTTTTAATAACCGTCGAATGGACCTTCAGACTCAATGGCTCCGTGGGGGTTACCAATGGTCGATATCATCAATATTTATATGTGTGTACATGCATATACACTTACATGCACACACACATACACATACAACTATACTGTACGTCTGTTCATGTGACGCTCTCTTACTCATATCTGTGTTATGGCCATTTTTTCCAATTCACCGCCATTGAATGCACAGCTATCGCCACATCAATATGGTACAGCCAATATTCGTTTGTTGTGCATGAACAACAATAGTCATTGGCTGGACATCCGATTGAGATTAGAGTCCGCTACACATTGAATTCTAATGCAAGTCTGCAGCCGACGGTGGTTGTTAGCGGAGCAATAAAAATTCCACGTTAAAAAGTTAAAAAAATAAATTAATAAAAATGTAACAAATAAAATATTAGAAAAACCAAAATTAAAGTGAAAAATTCTGTTTAAAAAGCTTCCAAGAAATGTTGAAAATTTAATGCCCAATTCGTTATTTTGACCTTTGTGCTGCGCATTTAGTAAGAGAAAACGCTTAATTTCAGTTCTCTTTCATACAAAATGATTGAAGAATTTCGAAATATTTTATAACTACGAATATTACCATTAACAAAGCATATAATGCGCGTAAGTTTTATAGAAGAAGAGCTAAGCTCTAAGTGCTCTCTCTTTCTCCCTCTCTCTCTCTCCCTCTCTCTTTCTCCCTCCCTCTCTCTCTCTCTCTCTTCAAGCTTCTAAATTGATAAGGTTTTAATTACAGTTATTTCTCAACATAACCTTTAATATTTTCGAAAAAGCTCTAAAAAAGCTCTTTTCAACCCTGAAGCTTTTAAAGTTTAAAATATAATGAAATCTATGGCTACTTGTTTTAGCTCAAAGTAATGCTGTAGAATGTCCTTTGGGAGCAGAAACTACTTTCCTCTTTGCAATCTTTTAAGCTTACACGTATAAATGTTTTTACAAGTTTGTTTTTTTTTTTAAGTTTAAAAAATTTTTAGGACAACATGTCCAAAAATAATAGTGTTTACGCATTTAGATATTGAGTCATATTAAAAAGAGATAAAGCTCTTCAATAAATTCTAAACAAGTTTTACGAAAACTGTGTGAAAGCTGCGTGAAAGTTTATAAAAGCTTCTCTCGATGAAATTTTCTTTCTTGGCTACGTAGGCTATAATCGGCAAAGAGGAAAAAATGAATTTTCCATTCCCCATTACATATCGGAAAAGCTTTTGAACTCAGTAAAAGCTCCCCAAGCGCACAGTAAGTTTTCTTTGTACAACATTTTTCATCAAATTAAAATCTAAGCTGTATTTAAACAACACAGCAATTGTCATTTATATGTAAACACTTAATATCTTACAAAAAAAAAAGCTGAAAAGCTCAAAAAACTTTTAAATATACATTAAAGTTAATTGAAGAAATCTATATTAGTGTTACAGTTATCAAGATATCATATTTCGGAAGCACCAAAAAACTCTGATTCCACAGATATGTAGACATATCTCATCATAACATACTTTGTTGTTGTTCTTCAAATGACATAAGCAAAAACTTGCTACATTGATGCAAAAAAAAAACTTTGCACAAACTTAGACTCTAATGGTTTCTAAAGAGTTTCTTCACAAATTTAATGTATCCAACCATACTGTAGTTGCAAAAAGTATGCAGACACATATCTAGTGTCAAATTTGGGGACAATACTGAGGAGAAATTTTAGACGCAAACTTTTTAAATAATTCAATTTTAAGAGTTTACAACAATTTTGGGGTGAACAAAACGTTATACAGTCTTGGCTAAGGATGAGTAGGAAATAAAAATTAAAGATATAAAAAGGAAAATAAATATGTTGACGCTAAGTACGGTGATGGCAATATAACAACTTAAAAAGTGTATAAAAATAGGGGAAACGTAAGAATCGATAAACAAAAACTTAGAGAAAATGAAAAGAATAATAACTAAAAAAATATTAACAAATATATAATAAATAAAAATAAAATAAAATAAAATAAAATAAAATAAAATAAAATAAAATAAAATAAAATAAAATAAAATAAAATAAAATAAAATAAAATAAAATAAAATACAATAAAAAAAATAAAATATAATTGCTTGAAAAATA